TTATGAAAAATTATTTGATGTTGGATGTAACAGGGACCACCAAATATCAATTCGTATCCTATTTTTTCTTTATCAAATGTTTTAAATACTAAATTATCGTGATATAAAACTTCATCAAGGATTTACAATTTATCGAAAAATACAGATAATGTAAAAACAACCTTGGCTTCTTTTTTTTTAATTTTGATAAACATAAGAATGCGTCAACAAAAGGTAACTGTAAACATGATTGCACAGTATCTTTACACTGAAACCGGTACTTTTAAAATCTCTGGCCGATGTGGCGGTCACTGTTAAATCTAAAATAAAACACACTTTCTTGTAATATTGTTTTCAGGAAACTAGTATTATATTGATTTTCTCGATAAGTGACAATATTTTTTATTATTTCTGTTTGTTTTCTTTTACTTAAAAAATTGGGAGTTTATTTGCATGTTTGAAATCACAATGTTTTTGCCAGTGGAATGAATATATCTCTTTTCAAATTAATACCTTGCACTTGACCGTAGACGTTAGTGATGATGAAGTGTTAATTTGCATACAATCTAGCCGGCACCTTAGTTGACGAGGTTAAAATTTACGTTTGATTTAAGTAACACTCAATTGCACTTAAATAATAACGAATATTTTCTTTCGTTAAGGCATTCACTCCCTAATAGCAACAGATTCAATTACATTGAATACATTCAAGATGTGTAAGTGTTGAATATTCGATTTATTTAGACATAATTTCCATTTATTACTATCAGAATAAAAGGGTAGGAGGTGTCCTAATTTATTACCTTGAATTTTGGTAAGAGTTATTTCCCTTTATTTGTAAATAATTAAAAATCAACTATAAAAAATTTAATCAGGTAAAAAAAAAATATATATATCTTCAATTGTCATTATATTTGTAATGACTCAGTGGGTCTTTCGACCACAGTATTTAATGATATTCTTTTTATCTGAATTTTTATTTAAATAAAAACGCTTTTCTCCAAAGACTTCAATACAATCTTTGTTAATTAACTACTGCTTAGTTAATGAAATTTTTAAAACTTTCTCGTTGGAAATCCTTTTCTACTATAAAATGCATTAATTTAATGTAAGAGAATTATGTACTTGATGGTCATTTAAGGATAGAGAATTTGGTCCTATTAGGGATTGAAATCCTTAAAACATCCTTTTTGTTTATAGCGTTTGTACGAGAAACTATGTAAGTATATAATCGAAATAATGATTTCAAACTTGAATTGTCTGTTGCAGTTAAAAACTCACTTTGCATTCTTCGTATGTTTCAATACATCTGGTAACCATTTTAAAAGGAAGGGAGTGGGAACCAAGGGTCCCCCTTCCCCCTCAAAACATAAGTACAGCCATATTTCATTGTGGAATTTTATTGCGCTATATTAATTCTATAGTAAAAATTGAGAACATTTTGTCCGTTTTTTCCTGTTTCTGAAAAATTATACAGAATCCGAATAGTTTGTGACGTCCTGAAACCAAATATTGTAAATACCCTGCTTTGAAACTATATTTTTTTTCATAATTTAGATTTCCAATAAAATAAATACAATTCAACACATTTCAAAAAATTATCAAATTATGATTTTTGTGTTGGCAAACTACTATGCATTTTACCTCATGGAGGATATGCAGATAACGAACAGTATTCAATATGAAAGTCCATAAAACAATACAAAATAGGAGCAGAGCAAACAAAAACCTCCAAAATATCAAAGGTAGGATCGGGTGCCATGGAGGAGTGAGCATCCCTTGCAAACCGGTCACACCGGCCGTGTGCTCCTTGTCATGATCGGGAAATAACAGAAAAATCCGTCGGCAATTCAGTGTGAAAATAATGGACTAAGAATAAGTATGAAAAACGTCATTCAGCATTTGACTCAATGATACTAGTAAATTGTATTTCCTGACAAGGTCATGGTATCGACCATAGAACTTGCGAAATGATGACTTTAAATGATGCTGCTGATAGTCTTGTTTCATCAACTTGTTTGTCAATATTTTACCTCGTTTTAGAAATTGTCGTAGAACATGCTCTAGTGTATCGAATCAACTGAGATATGTAAACTCCGTATTCAGGTGATGAAGGTATATTGCTGAAAGGTAAGGGAAGTTGACGATAGAAAAGTTAAAGTCATCACGTTTATGATAGAACGTGGTTATTAGATTACCATTAGTGTCTTTTTAAAGTAAAATATCCAAGTAAGAAACAGATGTGTCAGACTCTGTGGTATCTTTTATCTCAAGCTCATAAAGATATATCGTATCGACGTAGGCATGGAAATTATCATTGTTAATTGACAATACTTCCTCGGTATATCTAAATGTCGAGTTGAAGGTCACAGCAAATGTTTTCTTCTTTTCAAAAAAAAAAATTTTTGCATAAATTCTGTTTCATATGAATACAAAAATAAGTCTGCTAATAACGGAGCGCAATCAGTACCCATGGGAATTCCAATAGAATGCATATAATCCTATTATCAAGTATTTTATACTGGAAAAGATTTCATATAAAGATCCGTTTTCCCCTTCAAATCAAATGTGTACTGGGCTGTTGTGATTTAAGTCTATGTCAAATTTGTTGCGTGATGAATAAAACTACTTCCTATTTCGACATGGAAGTAGCTAATATGGAATGTTTACTACCTGTCATTTCTTTTCTGTATTTTAACTTCGTTACAACATTCGGATATGGTATGTAGTATTAATGCATGCAAGTTAATTTCATCTGTTGTTTCTATAACATCCCGAACCTTCAAGCTTTTTTAAGGCCTTTTTCCCATTTCTTCATATATTCATGTTAAAAGGAGATGTCATTGGAAAAAATATCAGAGTATTCATAAAGATAGAAAATATGAAAAGGAACGAACTTCTTTCTATTCATATGTTAGTAATCTATATGTTTTTGTTGAATACTCTCCTACAACATTGTGAGGATCAATCTTTATTTAAAAAATTATAACTAGTATCAAAATCAATAACATATATTATTGTTTATGACACCCAATTTTCAGTTTAGTATTGGTTTATGAAAATTCTAAATACATGTATTCATAATAACTCAGTTGAAGGAGGTCTTCAAATTAAGAATAAATAAATTTTGCAAGAGAATGATTCTTGTTTAAAAATAAGGATGGTATGTTTTACTCATCTTTTTGGTGTGACTCTGAACGATGTATATGTTGGGGTTTTTTTTTATTGTTTCTCGACATACATGCAAAAAACGGAAAATTTATTTAAACTTTTTAAATTGATTCGTCTATTATGTTGAAAAGATATATTCAATCTGATGTTTTATTAAAAAGCAGTACGTATAACTAATTTGAGAGAAACAGGAAATATTTTAACGCGACGTTAAATGCTTACAACGCTAATAAGCAGTTGTATTCAAAGCAAGTCCCTTCTTTTGTAGTTTACGTGCATATGTCGCTCTAGAATAAATGATAATATATACTATAATTTTGATCCCAAATATATTTATCACCAGTCATAAAATATGTCAGTTATAAAATATATGGAGATAACGAACAATATTCAATCTCAAAAGATCATTCAAACGATTCAAATCAGGAGCAGAGCAATTGTGGACCTCCTTCAAATGTCTTATTCAGGAAGTCTGGAAATTCAGGAGGTGAGATAAGATGCCTAGGAAGATTAAGCCCTCTCTGTTGACCGGTTACACCCGCTCAGACAGATGGAACATTCCTTAGTCAAATTCAATATAAAAACATACAATTTATTTAAATCAAGTCAGTCACAGTTCCACTCATTAATGAGATAAGTTGCTAAAGAGGGGCAATAAAAAGACCATAAAATTTATGGATACCTACTTTAAATAAGGAGTTAAAATCCATGTAACATTAACTTATGAAAAGTTGATGATTTAATATCAATATTACTCCATAAATGAGGAAAGTTGTGGATGGAAATGTGGAGGACAAATCCTTTGTCATACAATTTCTTTGTGAGTCGACATTACTAGTAATTGTCTTGAGTCAGATAAGAGAAGGGTACTGTTAATGCACATCGGAATTCCTAAAGTTTATTAGAAAAGTTGGTCTCCAAAGACTTCATAAATGTTTTCAATAAAGAAAAATTCAGCATTATTCTAATATCAACTTCAGAATACTTGTGTGTTTAATCGGAGTGGTTTTTATCGAAATAATTTGCTAATGACCATTCACAAAATGTGAAAGATTCTGATTTAAGATGTCTTGAAAAAAAATTATTTTAAGTGATCTAATATCCTGAGAACCTTTTTAATGGTTCATTCTACCTATTCCCACTTTTTGAAAATCATGTAGAAAAGGGTAAGATTTTATGTGGGAATAGGTGGAATTTTGTGTAAACAAATAATTGACTATGTTCTTAAATTTAAGTATTAAGTTGCTTTTTTTTGTAAGATCTTTTTATTGTTTCAAAAATCCCAAATAAATCATATTTTCTCATAAATGTTTCCATTATTTTCTGTCTTAAAATGTACAAAATACAGGTAATTCTAAACATCTATTTTTATTTGCAAGTGGGAATACGTGGAATTGAGATTTTTAAAAAGTGGGAATAGCTAGAAGACACCTTTTTAATGATACATACATAAACAAGGAAGCCATGCGATTATTGCAAAACTGTCTATTATTTTTCTTTTAAATTTTATAAATAATACTCTTAATTAAAATAGAATTTAAACATTTGGGCAAATCAACTGATAATTCGAATATTCCTTAAAATCCTTACTGATATTTAATTATCGAGATTTTAAAGAAATTGTTGTAAAAAGTAAAGAAAGAACGTTAATTTTTTTATGTTATAGATTGCAGAAAAAATTAGTGAATTTAGCTTCTAGAACTTTTTTAAAGACGTTTTGAGGGTTCAAATCTAAATTGTACGTCAGCGCAATTTTTGAAAACATTTAATGTAAATAAATTGTTGTTGAAAAGTCATTTTATTGCTTAATGTAATTGTGAACAGATAACCTTTCAAGATTTAAATCTGCTATGCAAAGCAGTAAAAATGATGATATAAATGCTTCACCTACAAGAGCAATTGACATGGATATAAGTACGTGCTCTTCCACTGACAAAGGCAATCCTGCTTGGTGGTATGTTGATCTGCAAAAAGTGAAAAGCATTTACGACATCCAGATATATTTTAATAGAATCAGTGATATATACGGTAAGTGAAATATTTAGGACACCATAAAATTCTTTTTTGCGATTTAATTTTTAAGAATATATTGAATTTTTAAATATTAAGGATTTAGTAATGTTTTGTATTCGAATATGTTGATTACCGTAACTCATATTTTCACGAGTGCGAAACATTAGTGAAAGTATCCAAAATTTGTTTGTTATCAGTGATTCAAATCTATATCTTTCTGCAAACATTCTGATACACAAAGCGTCGATGACGCCATTTCTTAGCTTTTGTGGGACATAATAAAATTGAAATTTGAAAAAAATGTAAACCTGGATTTTTGGTAAATTATCCTTGATAAGATGGTTTCTTTACTCTTGCTCACTCCTTAAAAGATTTTTGGATACTTTGTGAAGTGAAAAAATGGAGAGTTTGCTGTGATTTGTTTATTTTCACTTAAAGAACATCAACAGAAACAACGAATGTATGGTTTCCAGCTTTATGTATCGAACACGACAGAAGTGGGCAGGATAAAGGATGGACACCTCTGCTACATTCATAATGGTCCTAGCCTACCTGTTTTGTCCTCCTCACATCTTTGTGTCACATTTGGTCGCTATGTGTTTTTCTATAACGAGAGACGTCGTGGTGTGGCATACCCAGACGGTTCTAATGTTACGTATGTTCAGCTTTGTGAAGTAATTGTAAATGGTAAGTGTTTAATTCAAAAGTACATGTACTTCAGTTGATTTTAGATCCTAGAAACATGACAATGTAGTATAAATGTTCCTTCATTTTGTTGTTAATTTTTTTTTAATTTTGTCGGGTTTTCTCTAAACAAATCTAACGTATCTAATCTTATATTCGATTTAAAAATATATATGCATTGCATTTAAATTTTAGCATGAACATGCTAAGGACAGAACGAAAGTTGGAAAACCTGAAACAATTTAGGCGCAATGGCTTTGCACATTGTTACACGTTTTCAACTGCCGTTACTTACGTATGTATCAACAAACTTGACATAGATGCGTTCATTATATTGTTATGGGAAAACTAGCATGTCCTCGTATGTGCAATTTTTAAAACGAGGTAAATTATCGACACTCAAATTGACGAAACAAAATATCAGCAGTCACGTTTAAAGTCATCATTTCGTAAGTTCTATGGTCGATATAATGACCTTGTCAGCAAATATATTTTATCATTGGGTCAAATGCTAACTACTGTTTCATACTTATTGTTAGTCTATCATTTAAACACTGGACATGCTGGATTGGCGACGATTTTTTCTGTAATTTACCGATATGACAAGGGGCATGCAGTCGGCAAAGATTACTTACTCCTGCATGCATGGCACTTGATCCTACTTCTGATGTTTACTCTGATGCTATTTAGTAGTAATTTATGGACTTTTGAGCTTGAATATTGTTAATTATCTCCACATATTTCATTGATGAAAATTAAATGAAAAGTTAGATTATATTTAATTTAGAAAGTCAAACAAGTCCATAAAATGCTGCAACCGCAAACTGAGGTATGATTTAAACGAAGAAAATAAGATGTTCTGAATTTTGGATGTGTTTTTATTCGTCTTTTCTTTTCTTTCTTTCTTTTTTTTTTTTTTTTTTTTTGCTTACACCTTAAAAAAATCTAATAATAAGTGAATAAGATCATGAAGATATTATGAAAGAAATCAAACAGGGCATTATTTTTTTAAACATGTGAAAACATATTGTATTATATGTAAGCCATCTTGGTATCATGTGATTGATGATGCATGTACATACATAAAACAGTCGACTTACGGGATGCATTTAAATTCATTATTTTTTTTTTTTGAAAGTACAAAGAAATCTGTCAGCAATGTGTTTGAAATTGACCGAAAATGCAACATGATAACATTAATTTTTACTTGCTTATGTTCACTACTGGTGTGCATTCATCCCCTACAAATGCTTAAGAAGTACATTGAATGATAACATTTTATGAAGCAGCTTTTTCTTATCCTAAAACTTACCTTTTTTAAGCCTCTCCCTCTAATTGATGGATTAATAAAAGTTGCATAATGAGTCAAAATCGTGTTTTTTTTTTAATCTGTATCATAAACGAATATAGCGAAGATATGAAAACGGAACTACACTGTAAAGCAAGATAATACTGCACATTATAAGTGACTGAAAAAACAAAAGTTGAATCTACTGTTTCGTTATTTAGTGTATGACTTAAGGTCATGCCACTTTTATTTTTAGCTTAAACATATTAACAGCATTAAAGTTGAGGAAAGAAAGATTAGAAGTACAGTGTATATACTAATAGCTTTTTCCCAAGATTGTATCCAAAGTCTTGGTCTACCGGCATTTATTCTTTGGTAGGTGAGACCATGGTAATTTCCCAATATTTTCTGCGCCCACGTACAATAGGGGAGGGAGATTAATAAAGCAAAACGTATTTTCGTGTTGGGCAAACAAATTATTCTTCTGAATGAAAGAATATTTTTAGGTTCTGAAACCTGTAATTTTCTGAAAGAAAATACTTTCATGAATTAAACAAAATGCGCACGAGTCAATAAAAAATTCTACGTTTGTCAATTTTTCCGTTTATGCGTCGCAATGTCGCTAAATTGAATTTGACACTCAAAATTGAATACCATTGCAATCATTTGCCTAAAGGATCTCATTGTCAACTTTTTACCATTTGATTGTAAGATCACTGTAAGGAAACTGGAATTCCGATCCAATTTTTTTTCTCAGACATCCGTGCTGAAATTCACATGCTAATCTCCTTAACAATTCTCAAATGATGGTTTGACTGAAACAGATGAACATGACGTTTGCAGCATATTTCATATTGCCAGTTTAAAATATCCCCAAGTCTTAATTTTACAACTGTATTAAAACCTGATTTTATTAACATGCTTTTGTGTCTATTCACATTTCTAATCTTGAAATATCATTCTTTGCAAAGGCTGCGAAACTGAAGGAGTTTATGGAACTAACTGTTTCAATAAATGTCCAGAAAATTGTCAAGAACACAGGTGCTACTTGACGAATGGAACATGTGCAGGATGCATAAAAGGTTGGAATGGACGCGATTGTAGAACACGTGAGTTTACATAGTTTGTATTATGTTTTTTTTTATATTAAAGTATATGTCCCATATAAGGTTCAAATTCTCTATTTTTAAATGTAAATCATGTATGAAATTCTTTGATATTATTTCAAAGCATATTTGAGTACAAAACAATATTTACCAAGAAAAATTTTCATAAATTTTCCTAGAAGATTGCATTGAAGCCTATGAAAGTCTATGGAAACAAGAGAAATTTTGATACTATAAATTTCAATATTTGAATATCAATAAATGCTGTGGTGGAAAGATGCATTTTATTATAAGGGACAGAATGATTGAAAAATACTGGATAGATTTGTTAGAATTGATTTTTATTGAAGAAAATCAGAGGGAGATAACTATTCAAGGGCAGGGAAGGACGCGTTCCACTCTGACATTCTGATACTAAACAATGAAAACTATTTCTATATATACTGAGTATTCAGTCTATACATATCTGTAATGGATTCAATTCCTTTTAATCTGATGCTTATGTGTGCCGGAGCTTAGCGGACGAATGTAGAACATGTCAGTGAAAATTGGTTCGTTTGTCTTTTCATATTAACGGATGATTGTCTGTTAACAGGTAGACAAAACGTAGATATGAGTTACCCATATTTTAAATTAGCGCCTTTAATAGTGTAATTTACTTTACTTTTTTAAAATATTCACTAATACACAAAAACAAATTTCAAAAATGCAATTTATATAAACATGGCTGATATTGTTTTAAACACTAGCTTGCCTGACAGGATACTTCGGCATAGAATGTGGAAATAAATGTTTAGGCAACTGTATCAACAACGAGACCTGCAATCACATATCAGGATATTGCGATAACGGTTGTTCTGATGGCTGGACGGGGCAGTTCTGTAATACAAGTAAGACAGTGATTTCAAACTTTCATTACTGAATTGTAAATCATTTGTCAAAAGTCCTTTCAGAATAACTTGTCATGTATATTATGTTTCCTCTTTTTGTTATGATTCATAAATCAGTAAAAAAAATCTTTTTGGTCAAGAATTATCGGTGTTACTTATTATTCTTAAATATCAAAATTGATGGCAGTTCTATGAAAAAGCTAATTATGGAAACATTCTGCTTTGGGGCCAAAAAATAACATGATTATAAGAGCATGCATTAATCAAACCCAACTAAAAATGTGTGAAATGCTTTTAAAATATATGAGTTGTGATATTATACAGAACATGTTAACTGTCCATACCTTTAAGAAACATTCTTTTGCAAAAATAACACACCTTTAATTCTTTTGAAATATGGAAAATACTATAGAATATATTACAGTTTCAATTTAGGTAGGACTATTCCAATCATTAGAGTACTATCATAAAGCGATTTTGAAAAAAAAAGTGCATGGTACATATGCTATAAATAATAAATATCAATATTCATGGATTTTGATTTTTTTTTTAAGTGTGTACCCCTGGAACATATGGAAGAAGATGTTCTAACACTTGTAGTGGAAACTGTCTCAATGGAACACCTTGCAACAAGGTCACTGGGAATTGTGATGAAGGTTGTGTAGTCGGATACCATAGCGAAAAATGTGATCAAGGTAACCATCAGAATATTCTTTCTATAAATTAGAAACAACTTTAAATAAACCAGGACAAAATTGCAAATTTGAACATCTTTGCACAAAATCAAAGGGTTTCTTCATTGTGATATCTTTTATAGCTTTAAAAAATGTTGGTAAAAACTTTCTCATGCATGAGAATTATAATTAAAAAAGTAAACTATCTTCCGAAAATGTTATAAATAGGACGTCATACATATTGCAAGCATATTAAATAAGTACTTCAACAGTCCTTACATGTAGCCAACTCCCACCTCTTCACAAGGATATAAGGATTAAAGCTACATGTATTTAAAAATCAAGCAAACATCATTGAACTTTGGAGATCCACTTTAATTATGAAACAAGGTTTGTCAAAATCACAAACGTTTGATTTTATTTAGATTTATTTTTTTTAGTAATGCAATGCAATGTATATAAACATGGATGACATTGCTTTTAAACACTAGCTTGTTTGAGAGGATATTTTGGCAATGAGTGTGGAAATAAATGTTCAGGCAACTGTATCAACAACGAGACCTGCAATCACATATCAGGGTATTGCGACAACGGTTGTTCTAATGGCTGGACGGGGCAGTTCTGTAATATAAGTAAGACAGTTATTTCAAACTTTCATTACTGAATTGTAAATCACTATTCAGAGTATCTGCTTAAAATAACTTGTATATAACATGTATATTTTGTTTCCTCTTTTTGTTATGAATCATAAATCAATGAGTCATAAGTCAGTAAAAAAAAAGCTTTGTGGTTAAGAATTATCGGTGTTGCTTATACTTATTATTCTTATGTTTGAAAATTAATGGCAATTCTATGAAAAAGCCAATTATGGAAACATTCTGCTTTGGGGCCAGAAATAACCTTTTTATAAGACCATGCATTAACCCTATTTTTCTATTACATTTCTGGTGGGATGAATTATTTGTACGAGGGTTGTTCGAAAATTATTGAGACATTGTGTATATTTTGCCTTCTAATGAACGTCTTTCGGTGAAAATTTGCATCTATGTTTAACATACACTAAGAATAAATAAAAGCAAAAAATATTTTACAAATAATGCATATTTTCTGTACAGTGGTATATAAATGCCTCATCAGTATGGGTACCCGGAGCAGTCTCGAAATCAGATATGAAAAATATGTAACACCAACGTTCTAACTCTTCGTGGACCCATAATAGGAGAAAAATAATTCTGCTTATGTGTATAATTTTTCAGCTTTAATTCAAATTCATATTGTGCAACTTTGTTTGAATTTTGATCAGGAATACGTAGATCATAGAAAGTCAGCGCGGTAAAGCAATCTTCTAAAAACGAAAAAATGGTTTTTGGCGTCAAGGGCGGAGCAGCGAACATACCTAAAATTTTGTGTATCGCAATGTTTCCAGATTCAATGACCTGCTAAAACAATAACAACGAGAAAAAATAATGTGTTAGGGTTTGTTATTTTATTGGTATACATTTTTTTCACAATTAATATTAATTCAACCAGAGTAAAATCAAAAGCTCCGGACGACCATCAGGTATTAGGTACGGTATAAATATTGTTACGGTATTAAAGCCGCGTTGCATAAATCGGCACTGCATGATTTTAAGTCATCTTTCCCCACAAATGAAAATTTTACACTCGGGTAGCAACAGCATACATTTTAAGGAATAGTTTAAGAAAAGAGACTGATTTTTGTACTGTTATATGTAATTACAAAGAAGGGAAAGTATTAAACGCTTCCCGATCATTTTTAATTGCGAAACCATCTCCCGCTGACGTGACGTTAAATGACGTAGTGATGCTGCTCCGGTCTATAGACATATGCATGTTTATCATTTCACCGAAACTTTTCTTATTATCATAGGAATTATAAATTTTACATAAGTGTTTTATTCGTTCTTTATAAAATGTTAATTGTTGAATTTTCATGAAATTATCTCCGTCCTTTATGGAGTAAATGTAATTGTCTCAATAATTTCCGAACAGCCCTCGTATATGTACATGTACATGTATGTCTAAACGATTACATTTTTTTTTTTTGGGGGGGGGGGTTACTCTGGAGTTTTTATCGATAAAGACTGAGTGGACTTAACGCCCTTTTTTGGATCTGTTTGCGACTTTTAGAATAAAAGTAAAATTTTTGTGTGCAAGGATGTGTCAATCAAACCCATCCAAAAATTTTAAATTTCAATAAATTTAAGATGAAATACATTTTTTATTATATTTTTGTGTGAAATGTTTTTAAAATATAAAAGTTGTGATATTATACAGAAAATGTTAACTTCAAATCACTGTCCATGCATCTTTAAGATACATTCTTTTGCAAATATAACACTTTTAATTCTTTTGCAATATGGAAAATGCTATAGAATATATTACAGTTTCAGTACATGATATTATTTAGGTAGGACTATTCCAATCATTAGAGTACTATCATTAGGCGAATTTGAAAAAAAGAGTGGTACCTATGCTATAAATTATAAATATCAATATTCATGGATTTTGATTTTTTTAGTGTGCACCCCTGGAACATATGGAAGAAGATGTTCTAACACTTGTAGTGGAAACTGTCTCAATGGAACACCTTGCAACAAGGTCACTGGAAATTGTGATGAAGGTTGTGTAGTCGGATACCGTGGCGAAAAATGTGATCAAGGTAATCATCAGAATATTCTTTCTATAAATTAGAAACAACTTTAAATAAACCACGACAAAATTGCAAAGTGGAACATCTTTGCACAAAATCAAAGGGTTTCTTCTTCATTGTGATATCTTTTATAGCTTTAGAAAATGTTGGTGACAACTTTCTCACGCATGAGAACTATAATTAAAAAAGTAAACTATCTTTCGAAAATGTTGAAAAAGGACGTCATACGCATTGCAAGCATATTAAATAAGTATTTCAACAGTCCTTACATGTAGCCAGCTCCCACCTCTTCACAAAGATGTAGGGATTATAGCTTCATGTATTTAAAAATCAAGCAAACATCATTGAACGTTGGAGATACACTTTATGATACAATGCTTGTCAAAATCACACACGTTTGATTTTATTTAGATTTTATTTTTTAGTATGCCCTTCTGGAACCTTTGGTAAAGACTGTAAGAAAATCTGCAGTGGTAACTGTGTTAACAATGACACGTGTAGCCGAGTTGACGGAGAGTGTGTTAATGGTTGTACAACAGGCTACTGGGGACATCTCTGCAATGAGAGTTGGTTGAAAATTCTATCATGTTTTATTATATTCTTGTTCATGTTTTTTTCATAACAATAAATGACATGATGTTACATTTGTATGATTCTGTCATAGTTATTTATAAATTATATTATTCGAGCATTCTCAAAATCATCCCAATTCATTGTATGTTATTACGTTTAAGTTAGTAAAATTAGATTACATTGAAGTTATAGATCATTTTAAAATATATGTATATTTTGTTGACCCGTTACACAATTTTGCATCCTACATATTACTATGGGCCATTAATTTGTGCGAAAAGCAATGTTTAAAAAGGGCATGGAGATGAATATTTATGTTCAATCAATTTTATATTTTGAATATTTCTAAGTGCAACTTTCATTACAATTTAAATCAATTCGTTAATACGCAGGATTAACACGAATAGAAACTGAAAAATCTCGATGTATATAATATAAGAATCTAACAAATTGAAAAAAAATACAAACGCTTGGAATATCATATTTCAGAGTGCCAAAATGGAACATATGGGATTAATTGTTCATCGCAATGCAACCCTAATTGTGCAGGACGTAAATGTGTCCAATGGACTGGTTCATGTTCTAACGGTTGTTTACCAGGATGGCAGAATACAAAATGTGATGAAGGTAAAAATATCTACATATGACACAATTAGCAATGAAAGACTTTAATTTATATTTTGAGAATATGTTAAAAGAATGTTTTACCGAGTGCATAGAAACGTTAAGTGAAACCTATGAAAGATGAAACATATGGAGATATCAAACAGTATTCAAGATCAATAGACCATAAAACAACACAATATAGGAGCAGAGCAAAAAGATTTGTGTAGATCATTCCTGATATAAACTTATAAGGAATATGTCTATTTTGAGATGAAAGGCACATGGACACAGATTTGAAGATAATATTTTCTGTATAATATTACGACATATATATTTTAATAGCATTTCACACAAAAATATATTAAAAAATTTACTTAATCTTAAAGTAATTGAAACTTCAAATTTGTGTAATCAGACGCAAATCAGATTAACTTCAAATCTGAGTAAATGCATCTTTAAGTTATCGTGGCGCAAATTTCGCGTGTCCTTAGGTGCAGTCATCTTCTAAGCAAATTTATAAATTCCCTCATTATGTAAATCCATTTATATTAGTTATTCGAATCATTCATAAACTGTACATCATTTGTTTTCCTTCTGTTCTACATGTTCCAATTAAGCTTGCTCAGATGGATATTTTGGAGACAACTGTAAACAAACATGTAGTGGAAATTGTGCAGACAACGATACCTGTGATCATGTAAATGGATATTGTTTGAAGGGATGTCGTGAAGGGTTTGGGGGTAAACGCTGCGAGAGTGCAAGTGATTGTACGTATATGAATATAATTATTTAAGGATATCCGATCCTCAGCCAGGAAGGATAACTCCAAAAATTAAATCTAATTTAAAATGCATCAAAATGAAGCTTGAAAATGAAATTTTTTCATGCAGCAATTTTCATTTTATTCATGTTTATAAGACTCAAGGTTTTTGGAAGTCTTAGAAAAGGTCTTATGATAGTTGACATTTGTACCCTATAAAAGGAAAAAAATTAATACAGTTTTAGAGAAAAAAAAAGATTTTCTTGAATTCTGTCTTAGATACTAATGCTTATTAGCATGATATGATATAAGAAGTGCTTTGTGGTGTCTTTCAATAATGGAAAAAGCCTTCTAAACTATGTATTATTGAATACATGACGAAGAATACAAAAAAATACCAAAATAAGTTAAAAAATCATGAAAATTTCTCTGATGCCTGGATACCTATCATTTTTAAACCTAAAATAGATTTGTTGATCAATTTGCAATTAAAAAATGCATTGCTGAGATTCCAGTTCGCTTTTTCTGCAAAAATATTGGAGATTTGACAATTTTCCCTATATAATATCATTAACTTTAATCTTTAACTTTAAAGAAATACTGTGGATAAATTGACATAATTTTGTGGATTCAGAGATACTTTTATGAGTATTTTTGATTACTCAGTACTTAAGTGCTAATTTTATAAACCTGAGGATCGGACTACCTTAAGTTAAACTTCAAAGTAAATTTTTAAAGATTTCACTACCATTATATATAAACTATAATAACAACAACTTTTATTTGAAATCATTTAGTATGAATTATAATCTCGATATTTTTAGCGCAAATTTCTATATAAATACAAAGACATAAGTGGATTTGCAACGAGAAATATTCACATGTTGAAGCTGACATGAATTCCTAAATAATGTTGCTGTTTGCGAATAAAAAGTTTACAATCTGCCGAAACATTAATACTAGTATAAGGTATGCAATTCTGAAATAATTATTTCAAATTTTACCACAGCCAAAAGGAATGATGAAATTGGAAGCGTTTTGGTTTTGGGACTTTCTTCTGCATTAGGAAGTTTGTTTCTGTTGACTGCTGCAGGTTGTTTGTTTTTATTATGCTTTTTTCGAAGGTAACATTCTTTGGATTCTCAATTTTACGTTGTTTTTCGTTTAGAGTTAGGAAATATCTTTTATTGAAGATATGAAAACTTTGCAAAGAACAGATGGAAAAAGTTTAAATGATTCTAAAGATACACTTTGCACAAAAACATTTCTCCTGTGTAAAAGCTCTCTGAGAAACATGCAATCATCAAACGTGTGTTATTATGCTTGAATGAACGGTTCAATTCTTGTTAATGTAGTATTTAAATCATCATTTATACTTTCAGATCCAAGAAAAGAAAGGCAATGCAAAGAACGAATTCATGTACATCAAGCTATTTCCAAGGACCCCTTGTAAACAGAATTTCTTCCCATGCAGGAGATACACACATGTATGAGGAATTTCATTCTGAAATTCGAATCTACGATACTATTTCTCCTGAATTATAATTCGATACGTAGTACGACGTTTTCATACTGATTTCAAAGGACGCGTGTTTCGAAACGAAACACCTCTATGGACTTTCTCTCCTTAGGCAACTGAAGATTTCTAACTGATTTGCGTTAGATGTAGAATTCATAGAATTGATACTTTAAAATTCGTTTCATATTTTAAAATACTTTCTCATGTACTTGTATTTTTGTTTCACAAAGGTTAAATGGGATATTTCAGTGCAATTGATGAAAATTGAAAGACTTGATATTTGTTATTTGATTTTCCTATCGACCAACATAGCTTTTAATCTTATTATTTTATCAAGTATAGTAGTTAAAGCAGACAGTTTACAACAAATATTGTATTCTATTTGAGTGCTTGTATTGGTATCTCGATTGAATGTTTAAGAAACCTGAAATACTTATCTGTTATACCCTAATTGTATCTTTATTCTTTACATATATATCCATTACCAGTAACAAATAAAATGATTTTTCATCACTCTAACGATTGTATTATCGACAGTCTGTCAGTCCAACATAAGAATAGTTTGACCGCAACCTCGCTTTTATGTAATTGTTAACTTCTTTTGATAAATAGTAATTGTTAAATATTCTATTCCAGAAAACTTCACACATATAGAGACGTCAATATATATCATAGATATATTCCAATTTTGACTTATACTTAGCACTTGAGGACATGGAGCAGTGATGGATTTTTTTCGTTCAAATGTCTACCGTGACACAGGACATCAGTTTTTAAGGTTTCATCCAAATGACCCGCTACTTTCACTTCAAATTACCGAGAGCATGACGAAGGGACAGTTGCTACTTATTTTTTTTATGCTGACTTAGGTCCAATCTCGGCCGAATTTGAATTCAGATCATCCGAACACGGGAGCAAGTGCTATATAGACTGAATTACCGTGAGCTCTCGTGCCGGTTGGTAAAGTTTGATATCGGCGTTGATTTGATTTGAACATATTTTATTGTAATATAATTACAAAGGGATTGAGCACATGTACTGAATACTTAAAACGCCCTCTCCCTATACATGTAAATTACACATTTATATTGTCACAGTTAAACATGCTATATAAAGTATTCAGAATTTGCAAAAGTAAACAAAATGATGCATTTTGCATATATATATGAATATATGAAAGTTAAATAAATTCATATATCAATATTGGTACAGTAATTAACAAGGAAATCTAACAGAATGCTTAATAAATGTTTGAACAAAAGAAAAGAGATGTTCGTTCTCTGCACACTCAGTGATTCTACCCCCCCCCCCCCTCCTAATAAAATATGTGTATCTAGTATGTGGATTTTATCAAATTGTAAAAAAAAAATGATGTAAATATTCATTTCTGGCGTTCGCATACTTTGGACATACGAAAAAATAATGATATGTGTCCTCAACTTTACCGCACGTGCACAAGGGACTTGATATTAAATTGCATCTATAAAGGTCGTTATTTGATACACAATAATCAATTATGTCGTTGTCTGGTTTGAAGAACATTAAGTCTTCTGTTACCGTAATCATAGTAAGAAGGTGGGGCAGATCTAGATTTTTTATTACTAATTTTAGATTTGAATTTCGACATTGACTGTAAATGTCGAGTTTCAAGTGGAATAGAGTTCCATTCGTTAACTACAGTCGGAATAAACGTAGACTTATAAGTAATCGACACTTTGGAATATCATAATTTTGAGAATTTCTTGTCGAGTAGATAGATGTGTTACAGCGCATATTTGGAAGGATGTCCATTAAGTATTCTGGCACTAAATTATTATGAAGTTTGAACATTGTTTTTAATGTAGCTTCTTGTCTTCTACAACTAAGCGGTTTCCATCCCGTTTCAAAATAAAGCTATAGTTGTTAACCCTGTTACAATTCTAGCTGCATAAAGTTGAAGTTTTTCTAACTTATCACTATCACCCTGTTGACAGCACCCCCATGCCACTGAAGCGTATTCAAGTTGCTGTCTTATGAATGATGTATACATCGACGTTAAAGCTGAACACGATCGTAAAATGAATTTGTCCGCCATTTTTGTTCGAATTTTCATTATATCTGAAGACCCCTATATATATGACTTGACTTAGACATTGTTCATTGTAATCAGTCGACACCGGTGTGGACGGACGTGCATGGATGCTAAACAGCACTTGATAGCGTTAAAATAACTGATACTTCGTCTAATACAGGAAAGTAAGATATAATAGAATCTTAATTACAATGATATATAGTTGTACAGATCAGTGCAGTATACGAACAAATACAGATGCTGCAATAAAATACAAACAAAGACAATACAAGATAACCAGCACGAACACGGGTCGCCATTCCACGCCAATACCCGTGACAATAAAGTAGTCAGATGTAATGAATGCTAAAAGTATACTCTTGTGTTGATGTATCATAGATAGTGAAACAATGAAGCGCATTAAAGCGGTAAAATTTCTGTTTGGATAGACAATTTGGTTGTTTCCTATCGGATGTCAATTGTTACTTTATAATACGCCCATTTCTTTAGAAACTTGAAAGAAATATTCGTCGAAATGCTTTAAGACACCTCACTCTTTGTGACTAGTAACACGAGATAAATTAAAAGCTTTAAAAGAAAAATAGAACGGAGAGTTCGAGACTCCTTGCTTCTGTTAAACAGGTAATGCAACGAATATACACATAACTATTAATTAATCTTATCTAATAGAGCTACCACAACACATGTTTAGCTCGTGAATCGTCAATTTGATTGGCTATTACAATGAAGCGCATTGAAGTGGTAAAATTTTTCGTTTGGATGAAACGTTCTGAATAATGTTTTGGTCGTAAATTATAACACAATGACACGCCCATTTCCTTCGAAACGAAAAAGAAATATTCGTCGTAATGTATGGCAAGCCAAATTCACAAAAATGAGCTAAACATAGTTTCACAATTGATAAACTAGGTTTATTGACTGTAAACTATAGTTTACAAACCGTAAACTATAGTTAACGATTCGTTAAGTATAGTTTATGGCACGCCAAATTCACAAAAATGAGATAAACATAGTTTCACAGTCGATAAACTAGGTTTATCGGTTGTAAACTATAGTTTACGGACTGTAAACTATAGTTAACAACGTTAATCTATATTTTACATCCGTAAACCATAGTTTACGCGATAATCTATGTTTCACAACCGTAAACTATACTTAACACTGAAAACAATCATTTGCGATTGCAAAGCATAGATTATCTGATAAATACAGTTTTACGATTTGTAAACTATAGTTAACAAACCGTTAACTATAGTTAACGATTTGATAAATATAGTTTCACGATTTGTGAAACTATGATTAACAACTCTTAACTATAGTTTACGATTGTAAACTATAATTTACAAACGTGAATCTATGTTTATCAACAAAATCTACTGTTAACGCTTATTACAGACAGATAAACTTAGATTATCATTCGTAAACTATAGTTAACAACCGTTAAATATAGTTTTACAGATGAAAACTATACTTAACGAATCGTTAACTATAGTTTACGGTTTGTAAACTATAGTTTACAGTCGATAAACCTAGTTTATCAAATGTGAAACTAGGTTAATCTCATTTTTGTGAATTTTACGTGCCATAATAGTTTTTATCTGTAAAACTATATTTAACGGTTGTTAACTATAGTTTACGAATGATAATCTAAGTTTATCCATTTTTGTGAATTTGGTGTGCCATATTAATGATTAACGACACCCCATGTTTCGCAGTTAAGATTATAAAAAGGGGGCGGAACCTAATTTGTACGGGAAATTTTAACTATAATGACACTATACAAAATATGCGTCATACTACAATTTTTTGAAATATCACAAAATGAGGTAATTTGCTAATTTAACCTGTTTGATATCATCAAACTACATTACAACTTACTACAGCATGCTGTTTTTGTTAGTATATTTAAAAAGCCCACATAACAAATTAAGTATAAGTCACATTATCCAACGATGGGGTTTACAATGAGAAACCGATGCGTTTTTTGATGAAAATGGCATGGTTGCCGGCCGGGCACCACTAGTGATGGGTCTTTTTTTGCGAATCGGTGGGGTCATCGGTAGGGAATAATTCATAGTTAAAATTCAGCGATGTCTCCAACGATGCCTCACATCGCGCCTCATCGGCAACCCATCATTAACACATCTTTCAAGGATCGGCCGATGTATGGCCGAGCATCGTCCAATATACGTTGAATCTGAGGTCATCGGGGAGTTTAGTGGTGTTCAATAGATAACGACCGATCATCGGTCGATGTTCGACCAAACATTGGCCCGTAGTCAACCGATGTACGAACAATGTTCACCAATGTGTGAGCGATGTAATAAACATCGGCGATTATCCTGGAACATCGTTTTATGATTAGCAATGCATTGCTGGGCCTTTGTAAGTCCGGCCGGCAACCACGCCATTTTTCTCATAAAACGCATTGGTTGTCCATCGTATACCCATCGCTGGATAATGTGACTGATACTTTAAGGACTACTTGGCCGATGTGGACCGATGTTGGGGCATTGTTAACACCACGGATTACTACCGATTACCACCGGTCTACGGCTACCGGCCGGGAAATGTGACCTAGGCATTATAAACAAGTCAATCCACGTTCTAAAGATAGCTCAAAACATTCCATTCGAACGAGAAATTTTACTACTTCAATGCACTTTATTGTATCAAAAATGGCGCATGCCATGAGTCGTGTTCATCTTTAAGGGAATAGTCCAGTAGGAGTGCATATGTACATATAGCGCAATTTTTAAGTAAAAAAGAAGGATGATCACTGCAAGTGAATATTTTGGCTTTTTACATGACTATGGAGATAAGTGTCTTGAGAATCTCCACTGTTCCTCCTTGAATGTTTTCAGTTAGAAAAAAATAATTTGCCAATAAATAAACGATAGAAAATCTAATGTAATTGTTTTATGTTATTCCACTTTATTCATTCAAATACATTTTTTCTCTTTGCTTTTGTCCCCTCCCAACTTAAATTGCACTCCCAAAACAAAATGCTTCTTAAGGCCATGTACTCGTATGTACATGGATATAAAATCCATATATCATACTTTATTTATAATTGTTTAATTTGAATTTTATATCGCACAAGAATATTACAATTCTATGCTCGATTGAGATACATGTTTTTTTTTATTGGTGGATTGCGTAAATATCTTTTAATAGATAAAAATACGTAACATTTTGGCTATTTTTTTTAAAAAAAATTAGAAAGTAAACATTTTATTCAGTTGTAAAAAATAAGATGAAAATCAAATATTTTTGTTTTAAGGGTATCCCTCATTAATCTACCGGAATGTGTTATGTGTATGAAAATCATGCTCTAACATTTGATGCTTTATGTACATAGTTTTTTCTTTCTTTCTTAATAGTATTAAAATTGTAAATTTTTGTATGGAAATAGTTCTTTCGTTTCTTTTCTTAATCTGTTAGCATTGTTTTTGTTGTGATAGTTTAAGCGTTTTAAATACACCTTTATCGAAACAGTAGAACGTTTTAAGCTTTGGAAAAAACTCAGTATGTATGGAATTAAAGGGAAATTACTTAATGTTATACGACGTGCTATGTACGAGAATATGAAATCTTGTGTCAAATCAACAAGAAGGATTTCAGAGGTTTTTGAAAATTCCTCAGGGCTGTTACAAGGAAAAGTTCTGTCACCTATCCTTTTTTCATTGTATGTAAATGATTTTGAAATGGAGTTCATAAAAAGCGGTAATGTTCCCCTTGAACTGCAAGAATTGAATCTTTTTACTTTGATGTATGCTGATGACATGGTTTGTTTTGCTGAATCTGTACAAGAACTACAACAAATGTTGAATACTTTGTATGATTATGCTTCAAAATGGGACCTGACCATTAATGTTGATAAAACTAAAATTGTTGTTTTTACAAATAGGGGGAAAGTGCATGACAATGAAAAGTGGCATATACATAATGAACAAATAGAAGTTGTAGACAAATTTATGTACCTTGGTGTTTTATTGAACTAAAATGGAAATTTTAATGCAACTCAAAAACAATTGGCTTGTCAAGGTAGAAAAGCAATGTTTTGTTTAAAATCTAAGGTTAGTCAATTGAGTTTAAATACTGAAACTATGTTCTCACTTTTTGATACATATGTTAGTAGCATACTGAACTATGGCTGTGAAGTTTGGGGAAACCATTATGCATGTGATATTGAGAAGATACATTTAGAATTTATTAAGAATGCTGTATATGTTAGAAAAAACACATATACTTCTGTGATATATTTTGAAACAGGTAGACTGCCTATGAAGATTATGCGATTTTTCCGAATTTTTAAATTTTTGTTCAAAATATTACAAAGTAAGAACTGTATTTTGAGATCATGTTATGAGAAATTGTTAGAGGAAATTGAACAACCAAAGAACAAGATTACAAACTGGGCTTCTAATATTAAAGATAAATTATTCGAAATTGGTCTGGGATATATGTGGACTGACCAAGAAAGAATTAGTTATAACAGCCATTTTTTAACTATAAAGCAAAGAATTATTGACAACTATGTACAAAATCTCATTGCTGATATCAATAGTTCATCTAGATGTATGTTATTTAAATACATTATTGACCATTTCACACTGCAATATTATTTGGAAAAACCTATTCCATCCATTTATAAAAAGCAAAGGATCACTTCATTATAAATAGAGATTTGACCTATAGGACCGGGCTTGGTTTTTTTCTCTACAAAAACCTTATCGATTTCCGTTCTGATTAATGGCATTAGGCTGAATACATATAATAATTTGTTTTTCCTATTTTTTTTTTCAGCGAGTAGAGGTATGAGGAACCCTTTCATTGATTTCCTAAATTTGTTATCTCAAAATGTAATAATTGATATTTGTCTTAACTTCTCAATAAGCATAATGGTAATGTTTACTGTCTCTTAAATTCTATTCTTTATGTTTAGGCAATTTTATCCGTGAATGTAGTAAAACATTCCATTAATGTGAGCAAATTATATAGGCCTAAATCAAATCCGAGGAGTACATTTACTGATATGTATGTAGCCAAAATCAATGTTATTAAATTCTAAGGAATATATACAATTGACATTAATTGCAGCTCAATGCTGCCAATAGTACCTGTATTGAGTAACACAGAGTGGGTTATTCTTGTCCTCGGAGAAAGTGTGCTTACAATGAGGTTTGTTCCGCCTGACTGACAACTATACATTGGATTTTTACGATTTGATATCTCTTTAGTGTTTCTTATATCAAGAATGGGCATGCATAAAGGATATATAATTGAAGGAAAATACACAAGGCTATAAAAAATATTAAAATAGTTTTTGAAAAGGCGAAAAATTGAAACTTTAAAAGTGTGGTACCAGGCGGATTCGAACCCCCGACTTTAAAATGTTATTTTGCACGTTGTAAAAGTCAGCACATATATCAACTGAGCTAGTCTGACTATAACATTTAGATGTATAAATTTGAAGCAGATTATCAAAATCAGGTTTCCTTATTTTTTGTAGGTTTTTTGTGAATTTCGACCCTAGGGCAGGGGTGCCCCTAAAAAAAACCTATCTTAAATTAATCCTTACATCCAAACATATCAAAATATCACAATTTTATTTGGGGGCAGGCCTGCCCTGAAGGACTTCTAGGCCAAAATTCATGCAAAAATCAACGCTTTATCGGACAAAATGGTGTTTAGGCCAACTTTGGAGGTTTATTGTAAAGTTGTAAATGATAAATTTTAGGTATAAAATACAAATTTGAAAAATTTAGACATATATACGGTAGAAAACAACAAATAAAGATTAATTATTCAATGTCACTTTTTCCGGGAAATTGTTCTCTCCTATAGGTCAATTCTTTTGTCAAAGCGAATACATCCTTAGTAAGATAAGACTAGCTATTGAAAGTGGACGCCATAGAAATATCTTGCGCGTAAAACCGAATATGTGAAGTTTGTAGTTCTGAAATTGAAGACGAATTCCATTTTGTTTTAAAGTGTCCACGGTACAAGGGTTTACGAGCAAAATATATTAAAAAATACTACTGGGAAAAACCATCTATGTTTAAATTCATACAGTTATTATGTGCACATAATGTTAAGGACCTTTGTAATTTGGGAAAATTTTTGTACCATGCCTTTAACTTGCGTGATGAATGTCATAATACCTTATAAACAAATTAAAAATGATTTGTACATTCTCCATCATCATGATATTGATTGTATAATAATTATGCTGACTTAAGAAATACCCGCGTTATGCTTTACTGTTTACATGTTATAATTCTATATTGTATACAATAAGATGTATGTCTTACGTAATAAAGTGAATTGATTTTTATGAACGAAATTCGAACACGATTTGGTGTTTCAAAATTACTAATTGCTATAATCATCTTTCAGTTGCAAAGGTTCAGATAATCTAGTAGCTTAAATAAAAAAAATTTACATAAATTTCGTCAGCAACTACTATTTTCTGAGCAAGAAGACATTTAAACAAATTTTATTTAATAATTTTTTTGTGATAAAATTAATTCAAATTTGATTTTATGATCCAGCCCCCAACACACACAAATACACCCTTTATTACATTAAAGTTGAATCAATATTTTTTTTTTGTCCGGGTTTATCTGCAAAATTTATGAAAGGCAACTAAACTTCGTGAAAACATATTTTAAAAACATTCTCTGTAAAATTGAAGAATGTAATTCGTCACTTAGATTTATCTTAAAATTTCTTATACTTAAGGTAGGATTCTTTCTCACACAAAACTGTATTTCTTGTATTTACAAATTAATGAAATTTTCAAAGAATCAAGAGGACAAAATCACGAAGTGATGGTATCAGTTTGATTAGTTTTGACCGTTTTATACTAGAGTCAAGGTCACATCAAGGTCATTACCTTATACCTGGACATTAAGAATGAAAAAAAAACTGCATTCAATCATGCGATATTGTCCCCTATTTCAAACGAATAAATGTTGGGGGGGGGGGGGTTGGCATAAAAAGATGTTCCCATAAAAGGTTAATTAGAAGATCATTCCAAATTGACACAAATAGTTTAACAAAAATGGATTTTGGCTAATCCGAATTTTCCCGATTTTTCTTATCATTATTTTTATGTGTGTCCTATATTTAAAATTTTCTAATTTTCATATATGGTACAGAAGTCATATAGAGATACAAATTGATACAAAAACAAAAAGTTTTGACCGTAAGAGAGTAAAACACTTTCTATGGATTTTTGGCTAATATCTGTTTTTATATTGACAGCTTCTTAAAGCTAATATAATTGTAGTTTGTTTAGAAAATTATGCTGATGTGATATATTTTAAAACCTTAGTCCCTTATCATTAATATAATTATGAAACATTTGAAAAGTCCTTCAAGTCTTTGATTGTGTAAAAATTATTACTAAATTCATTGTAAAATAATTTTGAGAAATAGAGAGATATTTTCATACGTCACCATTCCACCAAAATTATAATTCCTGCTAGATTTTAAACTCAATTTAAATCTAAAACATCTAAATATATAAGATATATAAGCAAATATACATTGAATATTTTATCTAGTCAGAAACCAGAGAAAAATCGTACCTTAAGATAGTTTTGTGAAACAGTAGTGACAAATCTTATGATTGTCATTAGTCAGATGATCGTAATATCTATCTTAGGACAAATCTGACAATAGTTTTATGAAACTCAGTTCTGAATGTAATTGCGACAAAAGGCTATTTCTAAATAATTATATTGATTAAAACGTGCGCTCTTTAAAAACATGACATAGGAAAAAAGTGATATTTAAATCGCTAAACTCTAGTATTCTAAGCGTACACTATTAGGAGAAATTAATCATGGCGGCCACATTTGGAATATTTGTGTTTATATGCCTCAATACCGTTCGGATATCAGGATATGGTATGATTAACAAATTTTGCTAAACCAACTACTTTTTACAGGAATTATTTGATATTGTTTACATGAATTTTTTATGATGATAATTCGTCCCAAAATGAATTTCAAAATAAATCAGCTCATTTTTGCTGCTTGAGACAAAAAAGTGTAGTATGCGTGAATATATATAAATGTATCTGCATGTAAACATGTGTACATGTGACTAGTTCATTGGACTGTTCTTAATTAGATAAAAAACATTACTCTGATTGATGTTTTTTAACGTATGACACCTATACAGATTGTAATACAAGTTCTTAAACTTAGAAACTCTACAATGACATGAAGATTCACTGCATTTATCTTTTGGAATTTAAAATTTTACGCTGAAAATATCAAATGCATATACCTATTAAAAACCTCCCGTATAGTGCAGTTTATAAGACAGTATTGACAGTATTTTAATGTCACTTCGCAGTTCCTTAATTTTCTTTTTTAAAGTATTCATAGGCAAATCACTGATCTCCCATGTTATCTATACTGTACCCATTGGGGTTATAATTTGAACAAACTTGATTATACGCAATCCTCTTCCATATAAAAATGATTGATCAAGGCTTTTTTTCATCAGATATTTTAGATCTTTAATATCGATAAAAAAAACTCTGATTGGAATTGTTTCGGTTATATTACTGGTGGTTGCTACAGTATGTATTTTAAGCAAACCCGAAGCTTCTAAACCTAATGATTGCCATATAAATATGGCACGCCAAATTCACAAAATGAGCTGAACAAAGTTTCAAAGTCGATAAACTTGGTTTATCGGTTGTAAACTATAGTTTACGGACTGTAAACTATAGTTAACAACGTTAATCTATATTTTACATACGTAAACCATAGTTTACGCGATAATCTATGTTTCACAACCGTAAACTATACTTAACACTGAAAACAATCATTTGCGATTGCAAAACATAGATTATCTGATAAATACGGTTTTACGATTTGTAAACTATAGTTTACAAACCGTTAACTATAGTTAACGATCTGATAAATATAGTTTCACGATTTGAGAAACTATGATTAACAACTCTTAACTATACTTTACGATTGTAAACTATAGTTTACAAACGTGAATCTATGTTTATCAACAAAATCTATTGTTAACGCTTATTACAGACAGATAAACTTTGATTATCATTCGTAAACTATAGTTAACAACCGTTAAATACAGTTTTACAGATGAAAACTATACTTAACGAATCGTTAACTATAGTTTACGGTTTGTAAACTGTAGTTTACAGTCGATAAACCTAGTTTATCAATTGTGAAACTAGTTTTATCTCATTTTTGTGAATTTGGCGTGCCATATATAGATACATGGATTTCCTATTCTTAAGAAAACTCAGAGAAGTCTACTATCTATAATAAATTAAAAATATGATTTTAACTAATAGCCCCCATACCCCCAGAGTCCATAATTGGGAGAAGGGGGATTGATCAACCTTGAATCAAACTATTCATGGTTTACCTGTTCTTAAGAAGAGATCTACATACTTTTTCCATCCATTCCATGCATTTTCTATGACCGTGGTTAATTTTATTTAATAATGGACTAACAATAAGTATGAAAAACTTCAGTCAGTATTTGACTCAATGATAAATTTTATTTGCTGACAATGTCATAGAATCGACCATAGAACTTATAGGAATTAATTACTTTAAACGAGATTGATGATATTTTTAAAACTTATTGGTCAATAATTTACCTCGTTTTAGAAATTGCACATATGTAGGGATCTAGAGGAGGTCGGGGGGGGGGGGGTCCGGACCCCCGGGTATTTCAAAGTTATATTCTAGACCAATATATTCTTGTTTTATCAACTTATTTATCATTTATTTATTTCTGCATGTAGGGGCAGAATTATGCCACCATAAGTGAGGGAAGTTGACGATTTGAAAGCAAAAGTCTACAAGTTTTCAGAAAGCTTGATTATTATTTAACGTAAGGCAGGATATGGAGTTAATGAACAGTATTCAATATCAAAATCTTTTTCAAGTAAAATATCCAAATACATGTATGTAACATATGTGTCAGGCTCTTACAAAACTCTAATTGAATATAAATTGTCGTAACTTTCTGTAAAATTTATCTATACAGTGCATGTATGAGTTTTTAATACCTGTAAAGATAGCGAATCGTGATCGATCTAAATAATTCCATGAACAATACAAATTTTTGAACAAGAACCTCTGGAAATCCCGGATATGGGGCCCTATGACGATCTGCCAAAACAGCCAATTTAATAACACAGAATGTACACAGAAATAACGCTGACTTTCAACAAGGTTGTTGGCATCCCTCTAATAAACGTATAGGTGAGAAGCCAACAGCTTCAGTCTAAGAATAACCTTACTCTTCGCAGGCTACTTGTATTGAGTATCGAACATTTTTGGAGACATGCCGATATTTCCCAATGAATGAGCTTTTAAAAGTATATTTTTATTTTTCTTAAATTAATATAGTACACAGAAAGTTAAATCAAATGTATTTTTAATATAATAATTTTAATTTCAAAATGTTATGACAGATGATATCTCAAAGTTTAAAACAACGGCACAAAGCAGTCTGAAAGAAGATAATCAGCATTTTTCTCCAGAAAAAGCGGTTGACAAAGATATCAGCACGTGTTCCTCTACAGGGGCAGATAATCCGGCTTGGTGGTATGTGGATTTACAGGAAATCAAAAGCATACATGATATACAAATCCACTTTGATGGAACAAATACAGAAAATGGTACGTAGACAAGTATTTCATAGCTCTTGTACATTATATGGAATCAACAAAGCAAAAAAAAAAACTAATATTAATTATTAATGAATCATAGTCTATAATATCTCAATGTTGAATCAATTCCGTCTCAAAGAAGAGTCCTGTTTATATTGAAAATTTTGAAGTAACTCCGCTTCCTATAAATGTAAAATTGGTCAGTAAATAATGAAGCGAAATGAATATACATAAAATATTAGTTTCCACTAATTATTTGAAGAATCTTTCGTTTGTAAGTGAAAATCTTCGAACTTCTCTTAAAAGCAAAGTGTGAAAAATTATCGTAGAAAAATACAAAAAATAAACTGCTAAATATCCTTAAAAGTAAACCGGTCACCATAGTGAGGATATATATATTAAAATCAGCTCAACCTTTATAAACCTTTTTTTTATCTTCACATACCAATTTACATATTGAAAGAATTACGCTTTTGAAACACATTAGTGAAATGACACAATCATGGTCATTTAGACATTTAAAAAGCATTAGTCATGCCTCCCAGTTTTAATGGTTTGTATTGATATTCAGTAGAACATTCGACCTTCTCTTTAAAAGCATGCATTTTATTGTTATGTTTTAAATGCAATCAATAAACTAACTTGCAGCAAAGGAAATTACAAATTGGGATCATGTGGTAAACAAAAGAAAAATCAATGACTTTTTAAAGAATTGCTGCACTTGACGATGTTATTTACAATTGTATATGCTTACTACAGATGGATAAAACTGGCACCTATAAGAATATACGAGACCACTTTTTTCCATTTCCATATTCATTCTGCATTACACAAATACATTATTTACAAGGACTAAAATTTAATTGTGAATATGAGCCATGTAGGTAAAAATATTATAAATCGATGTTTGACTATATATGTGTTCGGTGATTGATTGATTGTATATTGTATAACGCGGAGTCGGCAATATTTCAGCCATATAGTGTGTTCCAGTACAGGGATCGAATACAGTGTCCTAGTTAGCTCAAAACATGCTATCTTTAAGTCAAGTGACGGAAATAAGTATTCACAAAGTTACGGAAAGAAAGATATCAAGTGGTGAATTATAGTTGTTGAGTCACGTTTTGTCCGCCTTCATGAAATGTCCGCCTCTTTTTCGGAAAACTCGTCACACTATGTCCGCTACCACAAAATGTCCACCTTTCTTCCCAAAAAAGTCGTAATTCTATGTCCACCGGCAAGAAATGTCCACCTTTCTTCCGAGAAAAAATCGTAATTCTATGTCCACCGGCAAGAAATGTCCACCTTTCTTCCGAGAAAAAAAAATCGTCATATTATGTCCGCCGCCAAGAAATGTCCGTCTTAAAATTCTTCTTGGTTAATTCGTCACTGGTTACATTTTATCCACCGTTAAAGCTGAACACGATTCGTAAAAGGAATGTGTCCGCAATTTTGTTCGGGGAATTGCTATACCTGCAGACCTCTATATAAAGAGCAGGACTTATTCTCTTTTCAGTGTAATCAGTCGACACCGGTGTGGACGGGTGTGTGCTGTAAAACACTCGGTAGCGACAATAATGACGTAATAGTTCGTCTAATGCTGGAAAGCAACATATTCAAGAAACTTTCAATTATAGTTATACAGGTCAATGCAGTATACAAACAAACACAGATACGAGTCACTGCAAGAAAATGTGAACAAAGGTAATGCAAGATAACCAGCACGAACACGGGTCACCATTCCACGCCAATACCCTTGACAATAAAGCGGTCAAGTGTGGCGAATCTAAAGAGTATTTTCTGATGTATCGTACATAATGATATCGAAAATGGCGTATGCCTATTTACAAGGTCATGTTCAGCTTTAAGAAATGTCTTTCAATTTTTCGGATTAAAAATGTCGTATCGTAATGTCTGCCTTCACGATAAATATGCCCTTTCTTTTAGAAAATTGACACTTTTGTACTGTCATCACAACTGTTTTGCCAAAATAGAATTAAAAAAGACTAAACTGTTACAGTTCATGATTTGACGGCTAATATTTAATGTCAACCTTTTTTAAAAAGCATTATAACCATACGGAGACAGAACAACAATAGTATACAGCATGCCACAGCTCTTACATGCAATTACAACAGAGCTAGTAGATGTAAAAAGAAGCAGTTTTTTCCTCATTTAACACATGAGCTCATGTTTGTATATCGCGTAAATTTCCTGCTTCTAAATTAGTTTTTCTGTATAATTTTACCAAACTTTCAATAACCATGTTTTCTCAACGTGTTTTCTTAACATTTCATTTTTATACATTCACAACAAAATTGTATGTACAACATGTGAACGTTATTTACGAAGCCAGTTGTACCCAACTGGCTTGCAAACCAAATTGTTTGTCTTTTTTCAGGGCCAGTAAGGTAGTAAGTATCGGTTTATGTTAAAGTGTTTGTTTTAGGAGTAATTTTATATTTTGTTCTGAAATAGTTTGTGGATAAATATGGTTAGTCATATTTTGATATGGTATTTTAAAATGCTAGTACCTGTTATGTAAATTGAGAAACATCTACGTTTTGTGTGCAATAAAAGAACACGTTGTTGAATGTCCGGTGTAACGACGTAAAGTGACCCCCGTAGAACATTGACCGGGGGTCATTTTTCTACGTAGAAATTTGACCCCCTGGTAAATATTCTACGTAGAAAAATGACCTACTTTTCTGTAGAAATTATGGTCTTGGGGTCGTTTTTCTCCGTGTTCATTGTAGAAAAATGAAACCGTAGAATAATGACCCCCTGTCATTTTTTGATACAAAAGCATTCGTTTTGGTAGGAATATTCTTCTAAGGCGAATGTATACGGGTAATATCAATCTGCCTTATGCTTTGAAGTGTTATTTCTGAAAGCTTTTAAGCCTAGTTAACGAAATCAAAGCTATACAATACCTTACATTAAACATACAAACTTTTTTATCCCCATTAAAGGAAAACAATATTAAAATGTTCTAACTAAAGGCTATATTATAGCAAAGATACGCGCATTCATGGAAATGTTTATTACATTTTGTACAGTAAGTTTTCACAGTTGTCATTTTAATCTTTAAAAAGGCTTCGACACTTTGTCAAATGTATAAAATGTATCAGATCCATGTTTAAGTCGCGTATTAAAAGATTGAGGGGCAATATGAAAACCATTTATCTTTCTGTGTTCAATAATCCAGATGTGAAAAAAGACATAGATAGATTATATGATCAGTACGTACTGGTCCCTGCCGACAAAGCATGTAACAATATTGTCTTCGTTTGTAAGGCTCCTTATACAAAATGTATTTTAGAAGAACTTCGATTTAAATCTACAAGTGATAATCCTACTTATACTCATACTTCCGTTTCTGAGGAAGACATTCTTCAAAATCATATGTCAGTTTTGAATATTTTTGATATTCCACAGAGCCAAAATGAATTTGAACTACCCTATATATATTGGATTCGGAAATTTCATAGGAATCCTAACAAAAAAGATACATTGCGGGTTCCAGTAAATGTTCAACCAAGCCTCTTTCGTTACATCTCACTAAGATATTGACAGAAATGAAGGAAAAATTTCAAGAGTACAGTGCAATAATATATTCAAGAAGTTGTGTGAATCAGATGTGAATACTCAAAAATTCCAAAGAACTTTTGGACAAGTTGAAATCACAAGATTTTACCAAAATGAACAGCTTGAAAACTTTTCAACTTTATACACAACCTTTCCCCGCGATAGATTAAAGTCCAGACTTTTTGATATCATTAACAGATGCTTTATCAGTAAAAATAGAACTCGTAAATTCTCTACCTGGTTATTGGTCATTTGCAAAATTATTTTGTTAAAATACACCCTGGTTACACACACTAGTACTCTGAATTGACATCAAAAAGATGTTTGAGTTTCTTATTTAAAAAGCCATGTGGTTTTTGGAGACCAGGTCTTCGAACAATCTATTGGAATTTCCTTGGGTACCAATTGCGCTCCGTTATTAGCAGACCTATTTTGTATTTATATGATGCAGAATTTGTGCAAAATCCTATGCGTGAAAAGAAAAAAAAACACTTGCTGTGGCCTTCAACTCGAAATTTAGATATAACGACGACGTATTGTCAGAACTTTAACAATGGTAATTTCCATTCCTACGTCATATGATACATCCTAAAGAGCTTAAGATAAAAGATACTGCAAGGTCTGAAAAATCTGTTTCATACTTGGATCTTTTACTTGAAAAAGATGTTAACGGTAATCTCACAACCAAGCTATATGATAAACGTGATGTCACTTTAACTTTCTATCGTCAACTTCCCTTACTCACGCAGCAATAAACCTTCATCACCTGCATACTAAGTGTATAAATTTCAGTTGATTCGATACGCAAGAGCATGCTCTACGTATGAACATTTTCTTAAACGAGGTAAAGTCATTGACAAGCAAGTCGATGAAACAAGAATATTCGTTTAAAGTCATCATTTCGTAAGTTCTATGGTCGATACAATGACCTTGTCAGCAAATACAATTTATCATTAAGTCAAATGCTGACTGACGTTGTTCGTGCTGATTGTTAGTCCATTATTTTTACATTGAATTGACGATGGATTTTTCCGTTATTTCCCGATCATGACAAAAATCACATGACGGGTATGACCGGTCAGCAGGGGATGCTCACTCCTCCATGGCACCTGATCCCACCTCTGATGTTTTGGAGGTCAGTGTTTGCTCTGTTCCTATTTTGTATTGTTTTATGGAATACTGTTTGATATTGATATTGAATACCGTTCGTTATCTCCATATCCTTCTTCCATACATATATATATGTAAGTTTAAATGTAAGAGCTAAGGGAATTGATTTTCTATACATGTAGTTAAATAACGTTGCTTTTCCTGCTTCTATGCTATGTTTTTGGATTTGTAAAAAAAAATTCAAAGTTAAAAAAAATTATATTTATCAAAAACATACCATGCCATTTTCGTAACAAAACCTTTGCATGATAAAAAAAAA